AGGCGGCCGCTTTGGGCGCAATGACTGACGGCGGGGTGGTTAATTTGGGCACCTTCTTGATCTTCTTGTGCACCATGGGTGTCTTCAGGATGGTCTCCGCAGCCGCGTTCAGCAGGAAGCCGTTTGGCTCCTTGATGTTAGTGGACATAGCATTCGCAAGCTCCAAATTAGTGTAGTCGTTATTCCGAAGAAACTTGGTGCTGAACATCCGCAGTGATGCGCGTACGGATTTCGAACGCTTTAGGTTCACGCGGCGGTCGCCGATCTCGGTCATTTTGCGCTTTTTTTCGGCCGACTGCAAAGTTTTGCCCATCTCACATTGCTCACGAAAACAAACACTACAAATGCATTTACACACGTGTCAAATTTTAAAAACAACCGCCATATAACGGTCGCGATACGAGAGCGCGCGCGAAACGTAGCAAACAAGCACCAACACCGTTGTTACTAGTGGGTATCGAACTACCGGCGACACCAACGACTGTACAACCATCGAGCGAGGTCCCGCACACTCGCACGGCTGTGAAATGCCGAGGAGCTGAGGAACGAAACAGCTGTCTTGGCATGTCCCCCATTTACCCAGTCCCAACAACTCGTCGCTACCTACTCTCTTTCATACACGTTCAATGCAATGCCCGTTCCCCGATGCCTCCGTCAATGGCCAGCGAAGCGATTGTACAAGGGAGGGGTCTTTGGCTTGCTTAACATTGTAGAATTATTGTAGAGACAAGCGGGCTACAGAGGGTGTTGTAGTTAAGGGACAAAGGCGTATTCCGTCAGTTCTCGTAGTAATCGGTTTAACTATCAAAGTGCCCAAGTGAATATGCCTTTCTTTATCGCCCCTTCATAAAGTAAACGGCACGGCTTCGTTCGAAACGATTCGTAGAACGCAAAATTTAACAGCTAAATGAAACTTTACTCAAGTGTGCGCACTATAGGCAACTTCTATCACAGAAGCGACTTAAGTGACTTTCTTGTGTTCACCGGTAAGCTATAAAGCAGGTGATTATCGTTTTTGCAACCATGATTCGTATCCGATAAACGAATAGATTATCTTCATAAAATATTTCATTGAACGTGTATTTTTCCAGAATCTACATCCGCACATCGTGGTTCATTAATATGGAAATTTTAAACCGAATTGTTATTATGATTGTGTGAGATATGCGTCAATTGTTCAGAAAACACACGAGAGCAAGAGAACGCTATGCGGCACAACGCGACCGTTAAAAATTTAATCTAACTGCGCTTAATTATGCACGGCATGTGCTTCTTTGTGAACTCGGAGAAGCAAAACATGAAGCGATATGAATAGATACATACGCTGAATGCAAATGCCGCCATAAAATGCGCAACTTAATGAAAATTCAACATTTTGCCCGCTTGACCTAACGCGCTCAACTCTTATTTGGAAACCAATCATTTAGCAATTAGTATCAATTGTCTTAATTGTTGTTAACGTAACCTCAAACACACGTACACGTACTGCTGCACACCTGCAATCAGGCGAGGCGGTGCATCGACCGTGGGCACACTTAAGCCGATTATTACCTGGTTAACATCGTTGCGCTAATTCGCGTATCCATGGCAACGCATTTATTCGTATCACCTATGTTTTCACCCGTATTATCAATGCACCACCGTATTATCAACTCCCACGAATGTCCTGCGCACCTTTCGCGGATCCACTTGCACAAAATCGAAACGGACGCGAACTGCGACGTCAATCGCGTTCTTCACACAACTCGACCTAAGTCTTGACTTAAAAGTCTTTTACTTGCCGCGCTCGCGTTCCTGCTGACGCATTGTGGTAGCGATCAACTTCTGTTCCGTGGCCGACGTGAGACGCATTCACGCCACAGATAGGTGGATTCGTGCGTTTGCGTTTTATCTCTCGTATAGGATAGAAATGATTCACCCAACGAAATTGGTAATGTAGACGTTGCCGAGGTGAATCAAGGTAGACAATCGCTCGCTGCGCGCTTCTACTGTCTGTCCGGCACGGCACGTTCTTCGCGCGTTCTGTCAGCAGCAGCAGCACAGCAGTTCGGACCGTGGCCGGCGTGCCGCTGGACGCTGGCGGGCGGCATATGTGCAAGCGTGTAATGCATAACGGAACAGGTCGAAGGAGTCGCTGAAGAGTGGACGCGTCGCACGACGAAACAGCGCCGCACGCAACGCACATCTTCAGTCCAGGAAGCCAACAGGAAACGATGAAATGCGCAGTTTCCGCGCGCGACTTTCTAAAACCGCTTTATTAAACTACATATTTACCAGAGGATTGGAAGTGATGTCATCTGTCTCACTTGGCAATCAAACAAAGGCTTTGATAATGTTTGGAATTGTTTGAGCTGCTATTTGATGCACACTTAATTCAGCGGTGGCCTTCCGGAAATCACGAGACACTTAGTACAACTTCAGTGAAGTTGTCAAATTAAGTTGGAGATGTTTGTGACCGTTACCGAATGAGGAGAAGCCGACGACTGAGTAGGAACCCAACGTGATTGTTTATTTTATTTGCGTAAGAGTAATTCCACATTTTCGCGAATACATTATTAGGCTCGAATGCCGTGAGACAATTCGAGTTACACACATACACATTGTGTACCGGCTGAATAAAAAGTCGAAAGAACAGCGGCAAGTAAACGGTCACGCACTGAAACATTTCGTACAATGCTCGAATGCTGGAGCCAGAATACAAAATGAGCGAAAAAGAACCGAACGATGCCGGGAGAGGAAAAGTTCGTAATTTCGATCGAGCAACTTATACATGTAATTATTTTTCAACAATTCCGAAATCGTATTTAGCGCCAGCTTGATTACTCCGCTCGTATTTGTAACACCGTCAACTATGAGAATTACATTGAAGAGCTGGTTCATTACTTCAACAATAATGAGAGTTTTTGAAATTTGCGCAGTTATATGAGTAGCTATAGCGACGCGATAGTAGAATAGCTTGTGAAGATGAAAACTGCTGCTGAGCGCGCCGACATTGGAGGTTTATTGCGGCGTGTGGTTCATGAATCCAAACTGCTCATGCCGATTCCGATCCTCTTTCAGCACTGGAAGCATTCATCGGGCACAACGTGTGCTGCCGTTAAAAGCCCGTGTTTATTTCATTGCATCAATAGAGGCGCTCATTAAATTTTCTACCGGCAGGGCTCCCGGAACGCCGGAACAACATTGTAACTTGCTTTCGATGTTGGTTCATAAGGCTCGCGGCTGTCGCAATAGCGCGAAAACTACCGTCCCCATGATGGCGCGACGATGTTTCAATTATACACCGGCGCGGAAGAACGGATGCGGCAAAATTCGATTAGATCGAACGTTTCGATGCCTGATTGGCGGATTGCACAATTGCCAATTACGCATGGCAAGTCTTCAAAACATAAGTTGTCGAGGCGATAGGTGGCATCAGAATTTAAACCGACGCTATCGATCCGCACGCGGGCGGCATTTTTATCTGTGCGTCGGTGGCGGTGTTGAAATACCAATCAAACGACGCGTTGATGTGAGGCTGTTACGATATAAACCTAGGTTTGAATTGTCAGCCGTATGTAATAAACTTAACTGCCGATGAAATATAATGACGCCGATAATGCACGTGCACTACTTCTCAGAGTAATGCGCCACTATTTACATAACTTATTTATTAGTGGTTATTTTATCGGCGTTGATGCTGCAGATAATTACAAATTTCCATAATTATTTTACCACACAGAAATGCACTTGATACATAAAACGGTCCTTCGTATTACAATCAGCGTAAGATTCGATGCAATTAATGAGTTCCAATTAATACTTAGACGTTTTGAAACAAAAAATCAATATTTCCATCATATTTTGCAACGACATTATCATTGCACCCGTTGAAAACATGAGTAACTTTTTTTTATCACAATTTGTGAATAAGTGATCTACCGTGACATCGTATTCACTTCATGACTTTTCGAGAAATGAAGAAAGTTTGTCTGTTTTGATTGCATATCAAAAGCATTATTTATGTTTTATTTTTACGTTAGTCAGCTAATTACTAATTGAAATTCATCATTGAATTTGCAATGTTAATAAGGACTGACTTTTTGATTATAATAATTACACATAGTAAATAGCAAAAATATTTATAGAAATTCTGATTAAAGCTATGTATGAATCATAATGCGGAAAACTTTTCAAGTTGCCGTTTATAGCTGATGCGTCTATCAAAAATAGAAACATTTTCATTTTTTATGCAATTCCGAGAGTTAGTCTCGTCTGGGCTGTGGGTTTGTGAATAAGATTCTGGGAACCCATTATTGTAATTTTATTTATTTACAATTATGCCTTCCTTCGAAATAAACCTCAATAAAGGCAGTCTAAAGATTATAAGGATAGTCGGTATTGCATTTTTGAATATTTTGAGTGTTCTAAAAGAGTAAACGAATTGATAAAATTAAAGGTACCTGAAACAACCCGCAGTTTAACAACACTCGTTGGCTTCATAGGCTACTCGTCATATTTGCAATTTATGTAGTAAAGCATAAGATGTTTTATTATTATTAAATTCATGAAAAATGCACAAATGAAAACTACAGCAATTTTCAGAAATTTCTATTTCAATACTAATTTGTTCTCCCTGCTGGTTTTAAGACAAGTCTGATAATTTCCTTTTGCTGTTTCGTTGGTATTAAATTTAAAATTTCTCATAAAACGCCCACGCGTACTTACGGCGTCGCTTCAAACAGATCGCTTTAAATGAAATCTAGTTTTAATTTATATATTTTTTTCTAAATTCTGTTTTTATCAAAATTAAACGTATTGCCCCACTCATCGCATCTCTAAATAAATACCTTTGGTTACTATACGAAAGATGAATGAATGCCTTTTCATGTAAATTTCGTGTTGACAGTTTATTCACAATGTTATCCTTGCGGAAATAAACGCTCGGATGATTCCTCGCGTTTTCTTTCCAACCTGGCGATACCTAAACATGACTGGATCGTTTGCATGCTTACACTCACCGTTTACACTGCGATGTCCTTTGAGGCGGCGCCCGACCGAAGGAGAGACCAACGCCAACGTGCGATCTGATGCTCTAGATGTGACCGACGCTCGTTTTTCTACGGGCAGACGTTGAAACTGTCTGGGCTGAGATGATTTCTGCTGCAGGGGTTCGACGAAACTTTCGGCCCACACGGTCTCCACCATGGAATCGATGCTCGCTGAACGCGGCAACCGGCTGGTGATGTCCTTTCTGGCAAAACAATGGTAACATGAACCTATTGTATCGCGGCGCAATTGTTGCCGCCGCTGCCACGCACCTCTCCCAGCTGAGGCGCCGCATGATGTTGGTGTCATCAGCTGCCCCCGCTGCCGGCAGATGGTTCTTCGACTGGTTAAGCAGCTTCGAGAGACGGTTGAACGCGTTGCCGCTGTTGGGGCTGGGGCTTTTTGCGCGCTGAACTGGAAATGCAGGAATTCGAAGGAGCGGGCCGCCGTCCACGGCGCGCTCCGGCCCATAGTGGCCACCCGCAACACACAGCTTCGATACGGCGGACTTGCGGCGCCCATCCGGCGGCGGCGTCTCATCACCGCTACCGCGTGCAAAGACCATGCGGCCGGAGTAAAAACGCGACTTGGGCGTTGCTGTTGACGGCAGCGGCTGGACGACATCTAAAACCGGCCCAAGCTTGGTCAAGCACGCATTGGTCTACAGGGAATCATATACCTTTGGTTGGTTTTATGTTACCAATTTGCGCCTGTAGGATGCTCACACCTGGGACAATAATTGCCGGCAGTGTGCGCGATCGCAACAGCGGCGGGGGTTGTTTTCTCTTGGCGCGTTGAGCATCTTCAAGGCCGGCACATGAAGCTCGCTGGTCGACGCGGGAAGCTGCCAACTGCGCACTGAAAATAAACATACAATACGTTCAAGTACAATAATTGTATTGATTCATATGTAGTAATATTGACATTAGTGGCACGAATATCTTATCAATTCAGCGACACACATCGGTTTATATCACCGAATCTCGACGGGCTTCACGACTACCGACGCGTCACTACAAAAGTTACAATCATTCAAATCGCAACTTTCAAATATCTGCTCATCATGGATAAAGCAACGATGACAAATCTATTGGCAAAAACGCATGCAGATTTATCAAAAAACGTGCATGATTACAAAACGAAACTAGAACGTCTCGAATGTTGCGAAGTCATCCAGGCAACAGCATCCTTGGAATACCATTACGCTTGCATTCGCGACAATTTGCATCAAATTGAATATCACTTGCAGGAAATTGAAAATCAGTGTAAGCAATTGGACTTAGCGCCCATCACAAGCACGCCCAAGTTAACAGGAAACAAACGTGAGTCATTGTTATGAACAGTTTCAAATTCGTAAACTTGATTATCATAATTACACTTTATGCAAATATTGTTTAGACGAACCCTTGGTCTATGAGCGTTTGAATTCAACGCGGGGAGTGTCTTCCCTTCTAACGCCGAAATTTCTGCAAACTTTCGACGCGTTCCATGAGGTTTCCAACAGCCTGAATAGAAAACCTCCGACTAGCAATCAAACCCAGGTACGTCTAGAAGTCCAGACAGACCGAGAAAATACTCTGCGGTTATTGAATCATTCTCTAAATCTCGTCATTACAGTCAACATCGTGGGACGAGACGATGCTCTAGCTAGAGCCAACTCGGCAAATAACAACTGATAACAATTAGATTAGATAACACGCGACGATAATGCTGGAGGGTATGGTGCACTGCGCTAGTTCACGTTCAACAAAGATGGGCGCAGGCAACAGCAAAGAGTTCGATCAAGCGGCGCCGCGGCGCAAATCACGACGGAAATTCTACGGGGTCCTGAAACACAACTTTGACCTCATCGAGCACAAGCTGAAACCGGACCGTCTTGCCGACGATGAGTACGAGATCGTTCATCAGCTGATCGAGGCCAACAAGAACGAACTTCTGGCGGTAGTGGCTGACGTGCAGGCGAAACCCAAGTACAAACAACTCTACGACGAGTGTATGGCAACATGCGATAGGTTTGCGGAGGAGCTCCGGACAAAACGCATCCCATCATCAGCACCTTCATCGCCAGGTCCTAAAAAACGTAAAAAGAAAAAAATGCGGAAGGAGAGAAAGACTTTGCTCACTCCAGAAGAAGAAAGCTTCGCAGCGATTCACGCTATCCGTGCTGAAATGGTACCACTACGCGACGAGGTGCTCACATTTAAGGGACAACGTGACGACAGAATCTACCACTTTCTGCAAGAGAGCTTCCATCGATACGTGAAGAAACTGTGCGCCATTGAGCTGCACGAGCGTGTACAGCTAAAATACGAATTGCGAATTGCGATTGCCTACGCGCAAGAGTCGCAAGAAGTGCTGGATGAGATCTGTGCAGGCAGGCGCCCTCCGTCGCTACAACAACAGCTTAGTGTGGATGAGAGGCGAGTGGTCTCCATGCATCAGAACTACGCCGAGCATCCCACAAATGGACATTTTGTCAAAAACACCACGATTACACGCAAACGCAGCAAGTCAATGGGCGATTACCTCCATAAAACTGGTGATGCGGACTTCTGCGGCAGTAAGAAATCCTTTTCCGAGTATCCTGATTCTCCAGACTACTCCAGCGACAGCGACTATGCTCAGACTAGTGACTTCTCCGATGGGCCAAAAACTCCACACTCCATCAACTCTACTTTCACGTACAACTTTAAAGTCACGTCGATTTAGATTTAGTTCTAATTTTAGTTTAAGCACGAGCTCAACGATTCTGTACATTCCTTACTAACTTAGAGGAAGTGATAAACTACGTTATAAACTCTGTTACTAGCAGAGGTGGTAGCCTTGATTACGTGTCCGACACCCTACTCTATGATTCCAGCAATCCAACAGCGACACAACAACGGTAATCAAATCTGCGGCATTATCTAACGCAGCTTTGCAATTTACCTTCTAAATATGAATAGTTTATAAGATAAACGTCGTAATATATTGTAAAATATTCTGAAATTAAACGCTTTGCGGGGAGATGAGAATGAGAAAGATTTGAATGGCTAAAATGTACGACACAAATTTCTTGAAATTAATAATAAAACTTGAAAAAGTTGCAAACTGACTAAGCTCCAACGCATTATCGATTTTCCGTGGTGACCTAACACGACAACGTATTTTCTGTCCATCGCAGCATGGCGCACCGTCGACAACAATTAAAACTCCAATTTGGATTAAAACTTAGATAAATGTGTAACGTAATAGAGAAGTTAATAGACGCCAGCCCTTCACTCTTTCAACCCTCTTGAGGGTGTATCACCACGCTTGTCCTAAATTACATTTGCGTGCACGGCAGCGTAGCTTTAATAGACAGCTAATGAATAGACGCGATAAGAAAAAAAAAACAAAGAATATCGCATGATAAATAGATGAGCAATGGACAAAATCAATCCACCGATGTTTCGTTTGTTGATAAAGAATTAATTTAAAGCGGTGTGGTAGAGCTTGACATGCCAGTGTTCGTCGCTTCGCTCGTCCTAAGCGGGGCACTTGAAGTACGCCTCTCCTGACTCTAACGAGTTATCAATACGTTTAATTACTCAGCGTGGCGAAATCGTGAACGTAAACATTTCTCGTTCCCATTTCCTCGGCGCGTGTGGTGCGTTGTTTATGATAGAATCGCGCTCTGCCGAAAAACGCCCCGCACTCCATCGGTGCCTCAATTATTGAGATAAGCAAAATACGCTGATGATAAGATAAACCGATTGTTTGTGATAATACTGAGTAATTACTCCAGTCGATTAAAGGAGTCACCTTACAACGTACAGGTGTATTACCATCTACAGTATTTGTGCACTGCAAGTGCACAGAATTAAATAAAATTAAGTACGTTTTTTTCTATTCTATTTATTTGCGACAGTTTCTTTACTGAAAACTGTTAAGTAACAAAACGCACATTATTTTAGGCAATATGGGCAATAATAATACAAAAGCCGATGGTCGTGATGAAGTTTATCTAAACGGTCTATCGAGGGGCATGGATACTCTACGGAAATCAGTAGAGTCCTACCCGGACGGCACAAAAAAGTTCAAGGCGGTTTTGGATAGTCACGAGAAAAAGGTGCAGGATGTATTGCGTCGTTCTCGAAAGGGCAGCACACGAAAGAGGGCGATAGATATGCTTCACGATCTGGAAGATTTGAAGGAGAAGGAACGCGCGAGTATTCGCGACAGTAGCCTGGATCATGACGCGGTGGAATCGAATTCCATTATTGCCGCCGATGCGAAGCGTTATGACAAAAGTCGCCAGCACAGCAGGAGTGTTGAGGATCTACAGAACATCCGCAAGAAAGTTGACCACCTAAACAGTAAAATTTCCGTTACCGAGACGAAAGAAGATGCGGTTGCGTCTCGTAAAGAGATCGAAGTGTTGCGTACCAAGTTGGATCGCTTACAAGTGCGGCCAAACAGTAAGTTGGAGGCGTATAAGGATGAATACAGAAATAAACTGCGTAGGTACGAGCAAAAGTTGGCGACCAAAGAACAAGCTATTGCAACGGATGGGGGAGCCATGTCGAAACTGCCTGCAGTTGAGGTAAAGCACAAACAACAGCCGCAACAGCTGCAAGAAGAGCAAAAGCAACAGCAGTCGCAAAATCAGCGTGAGACGCAAAAGCATTTGAATGTTCAAGATGAGCTGGCAATGATTCGCGGACAAGTCATGTCCCTGCAGACTGAGTGCGAGAAGTTTTCCGGGTATAAGGATACACCAGAGTATAATACTCTTAGCCAGAACTTGATGAAGCTTTGGGACAAGTTGGGCAAGATCAAGGATCCCAGATTAAGTTCGGAGCGTGAATCTATTATTACGCTCATTTCGTCCACTTTAAAAAAACTCAATCAGAAGTGCGTGGAAAACACCAGAGGCTCTCTCAGCAACAATAAAATTCTAAGTTTGACTGAACTGTTCCATATGCAGTATAAAAAGATTGCTATTCAGGTGAAACAAGGACAAGTAAGAGAATCCGAACAAGTCTATCGTATCCTTAAAGATGTATATAATGGACTGGGGGTTATGTTGGATCAAAATCAGAATGAATGTCAATTGGTTACTGCCAAGATGACTCCGAGCGCTAAACGCAGACCAGTGTCTATTTACATGTCCAATCAGCAGTCGATGGAAACAAACTTCGAAACCGTCTACGTACGAGACGACCAACAACCGCATGTTTTGAAAAGTAACAAGAGTTGCCCAAATTTAACCCATCTTAAGCAGCCACAGATGCAACATGCGACTGCGACTTATGTTGGTAACGCCGAGAAGCTTATATTAAATGGATCATCTAGTCCTGATCAGAAAAAGACCGAGGACGAATTATTAGATGACATTGCAACTCAACAACTTGACAAACTCAGTCACGAGTCCAACGTGTTGAAGTACGCCGTGGAGGAGTTTGATGGAAGCGATTTGGAAAAGTATAACGAACTAGATGAACGTCTTATTGAAATGATTATCCAGATTGAGAGTTTGAAGGATAAATTGACCGCCCACCAGGAGCAGCAACGACAGATGATCATGCAGCGCGTGCAAGTCACGTGCAGGAACCTGAAGCAGAAGCACAAGGACAGTTCTCTGCCAAGCAACGGCCATGGTAGTAACGTGCGTAACAGTAAGGACATGCAGCACCTGCAGGAAATCGACGCCACCCTCGCACAGTTGGAGATACTCAAGACGCAAATCAACGAAAGCTACGCGTGGCGAGCGGACAATCCGGAGCTCAAAGTGTTAGACGATGCTTTGAAGTCCGCTCTGCTGCGTTTGGACCTGATCGAGCCAGGAGGCGATCAGCTCGTGCAAATTGCCAGAGAGGATGCGCTCAGCGAAGTGCGCCAGTCGATCAAACGACTCAATGAACGAAGATACATGGACAATCGTTACGCTGGGACCGAAGTTTAAACCTCTATTTCTTAATCACTACGCTTTGATGTAGGCTTTTATTTAATCGTACTATTTTAGTCTTGTTTTTAATAGCAACGAACAGCTTCATTATAATTTAAACATAGAGCAATATTTCGTTTTATAGATGTTTTACAAGTTGTATATTACCAAGTATAGCAAAAGAACACGTATAAATAGCGACATCTACTGTTAACTACCAATACTTATATTTTTAGATCCAATCGCCAATTTAATACCGATAAGAAATATTCAAAGGCGTGAATATTGTCCGCAGTTGGTTTGAAACCATCAACCATAATAACGGGCGCTCAACTAAGTGCACTTTGTAATTTGATTGTCTCGAATTATATGTCACTTATCTTATCGGTGCTGATATTTCGTAAACGCCGATTAAAAAAGTTTCGCCGATTTATAACAGTTAGATTCGATATAAATATGGGTGCACAACAAGGTAAACCACGTCGTATGAAGTCCGAACGCATGGTACAGTCGGTGCGAACGCGATTGCAAAAGTTGCGAAAGAATCGTACGGCACCTCTACCTCTTTTCACCTCTGCCTCTACGGTCAGCCTAGACAAGTGTGATAGTTTGATGGACATCTACGGTTATCAATTACAGTCACCTAGTTACTTGGATATCTACCAAAGGGGCAACCTGGAAGTGGATGAACGCCCCGAAGACTGGATACGAACATATAGAGACCTTAAAAACAAGGTGAACGAGTGTGATGGCAGTAGTAATGAAAAGCGCGCGGTAAAGCAAGAGTTGGATGCGTTTGTTCAGGGTCTCAATGAATGCGAGGTGTTAGAGTTGCGCAGTATCCTGTTGGAGAAAGCGAATCGACTTGAAGCCCTTCTAGATGAGAAGGTATCCAGCGACGGGCACGACGCCTGTGAGAAATGCAAATTGCCTCCGAAAGAAGAGAAAATCGATAGAGTGGATTGCAAACCAGAAGTATTAGACGATGTATACCGCATTCCCGAGGTATATCTACGCCAAGTGAAGACGTTTGATAAGTTCATGGAGATCTCCATGCGCCTCGACGTATTAAGGTATCGCGTGATCGAGTATTTCGGCGATGATGAACAACCAGAGTTCCATGAGATTATGAATGATATTAACGAGGCCTTGGCCATGGTGCAAGCAATCAAGGATGGCGGTGTGGTACAGGTGATTGCCACACGCGAAGAGTACGAGGATTATATCATTGCGTTCAAACAACGTTTCCTGAAACTCGTTGAGATAAATATGCGACAGGCGAAGACATCAATCTTAGGCGGTGGTATGGCACGCACAGGTCGCATTCGTCGTAGCAATAACAGCGTTACTATCAGTACTGCGGATTGAAGTGTGTATGATTCAAGATGTGTTGTTGTATTTTTTGTTTGTTTACACTGCTTTTGTATGAACATATTGGTTTATACGTTGTTTACCAAAACGTGGAATTTTGTTGATTTATCTGAGCTATGATTAAATAAAGCACAAACAAGTTGCTAATATGTAATATGAATACGTTCAGCACATTCTACCTACAACAAGTGAGTCATGTGCAATGGCAATTTTCTGATGCTCTCACAAACTTGTCTGGAATTAACGATAGAGAGTATTCTATTGTAGCAACTCTCATAAAGCGCAATGTAACGCGAACGAAACTGAGTTTTATGCTCGTTCTTCTTCCAGTTTGCTCGTCTTCTTTCCGTCTCAAGAAAAGGGCGGCGGTAGGGACGTGTGCAAAAGTAAACTTCGCCCATGAGTAGTTTCATCGTTTTTCACCGTCCCGTGCGGGATGGTCGGCGCTGCACACACTTCCACTGCCCCGGCCGCTTCCTTCGCGTTTCTCTCGGAATGTAATAAAAATTGATCGATGCGCTCACGCCGTTAGTCCGTTTCTTTCTATACCAGTAAATGCTATGAGCAATCAACGGCCCTGTGACCCGCATTAGAGGGGCGGCCGGCGTTGGTGCCGGCGCGTTGACATTTGACGTGGCGCTCGTTTTGCACCTATGATTTTCATGCAATTAGCAATTGGCTTATCAACGACGGCAATTGTCTCGGAACTGACAACCACACCGCTGCTCGTCGCCGTCGAGGTTAACGCCCGCCGCCGGCGGCGACATTCAGACTTGCAAATTATCCCTCTATCGCACTTTCAATAAGTGCCGCCGAGCAGTGCTTATTTATGCGGAGTGCTCAGACGTTCCGAAATAGGACAGCGGTTCCACATCAGCTCGGAAAATGCTCTTAATCCGCCTAGCGCACCGGCGGTGGCATCTGATTCAACTGTTGAGAAAAGGCACGTAATTTCCATTAATCGATTGATGAATGCTATCCGATGTTGAAATCGCGGCCTACACGCGTTTTCCGTGTTTTTCATGTTTGCGAACATCATAGCAGCCCGCCGAATTGCCTGTCTGTTTACTTATGTCCGGTCATAAATTTTTCTCTGCATATAAACAATACACTCAATTCGATATCCAAACAAACACGCTGGCGGCGCGGCGCAAGCAAACATCAGACCTTCGTGTTATACTGTGCCTGCGAAAAACGCCTCATCGAGAAAGCGCGCCCCACATTGAATATGGTGATGTGTCAGAATTAGGGGCGGCGGAAAGGCATCGCCCGCCGTGCGCGCCCGACATTTGTGACCGGGTTCGATTCAGCGTCCTGTAATAAGTTTGCCGCTATAATTATATCATCCGACGTTTGCACATACCGAATGCTAGCCGCGCCGCCACCGCGTCCTCCGCACGGCATTCTCTAAGTATCGATGTACGGGGCTGCGCATCCGCGCTCCATTTACTAATTATATTCGAATTGTATGCCATACGCGGACGATCCGCAAGAGCGCATAGTCCGAACATAATACTAATAGCAATTGACTGCTTCACCAATTAGTCATGCACGGCTTTCGATGGCGCTCTATTGATATTTGTTACTTTACATTCTAGCGAAACGCACGTATTTGCATCCCGTGTTCGGGTGGGCGAAGTTTGCCTGAAAATTATTGTTTGTCCAAGCTACAATAGCGCTGATATTAATGGACTCTCCTGCGTACATGTTGCGAACAACAACAGGCGCATACCACAACATGTTCGGGCTATGATTTTGAGCCGCCGCCGCCGCCGCTGCCAAAAGTGTATCATACAGGGAAATCAACACAATCAACATCTGCTCGTTAGCCGCGTCAGCCGCCAGTGCGGATCGAATTAAGGGGTTAAATTTTAGAATTGCACACTGTGCAGACGCAAAGTGCAGGATGAACTATTATCGAACGTAATTAACTAATGGATGCTCGAAACATGCTATTCTAAAAACGTTGCTTTCTTTTATGTGCTCGCCCGTCATTTGCTCACCATCATAATTTAATTAAACGCTCTCGTGTTGCGTATCGCCGAGCGAGCACTGAACTTTACTTGACACACGAACGTCTACGAAGAAAATACCACGCGCGTAGTTTTCCTCTGAAAACCAATAAACTGCATATTGAAGTTTACCGCGCGACAGCGGCTTGAATTGTTTATGACGGCGGTGTATGAAGGGCCGAGAATAAGTTTAAGTTCAAATCCGTCACCCGGTTGGAATTGACGGATATTCCGGAAAGTGGATTTCTTACGTCGGTCGGTCGCAGACGCTGTCATCCTGTATGTCGACGGCGCGTAGGCTCGCACGTTGTATCGATTATGCTCTCCACTCCACGGAAATTATGACGGACGGCCTCATCTATCAAATAATTAGTTCGGACATATCGAAAATTTAACTTTCCCAACTTCGCCGAAGCGGCGCACACGTCTATTTCAGGGGCATCTGCGTTCGACCTGCCTGCCGCCCACACCTCACACCTTTTGCATTTGTTTCGCCGAATCTGTACGCACTAATCTCGATGCATCATGCAGTATGATCCATAATTGGACAAAACTGAGTGCTAAAAGCTAGACGAACTTTATATGAAATTGTGTGGAACGTCTATAGTTATATAATCGTACAATAACCGTTTGCAACCGTTTTTAATATGTAGGTACTCAACATACTTTTTAAGTAGCAGACAATACCTTTTGTTTATAAGAGTTTGAACACTGGCGTAATCAATTTTTGCTAATATTCGTATAAGTTATTTTTGTAGCAATTTTTAATATGCAACGCTACGTAAACGTTGATGTAGAAAAAACAGTGCTTTGTAGTGTCCATCAAAGTACGGATTGTGCGAAGAGGATGTTAACTCTTTGAACTTTAAACTTAAAATGTTTCTTTCACATTTCTCAAAGAGCTAGTTCAACACAATTTTGAGTCCAGTTAGTAACCGTCGATGATTGTTAGTAACTGAATGCTTTTCTCAAAAGAAGTGCCGATAAATAGGTTCAACAGCAAAGAATTATTTTAGGTACATGCCCAAAGCAATAATTCTCACATTAAGTCAATCTTCAATTTTGAGTTAAGTACAATTGTAAAACGTCCCCTTTGAGTTCATCCAAAAGTAGTCACTATAAATAATCCTCTTCTTACCTATTCTTCATGCCTAATTGTTAGTTCTATCAGAAATTATTTTTACGTAGATTTAGTTAGAGTTAGATGGCAGCAATTTTCTGTGATCAAAAATCGTAGTTGTCGAAAAAACGTAAATCGTGATTGCGCGTACACGACGCAGATAATAAGATTATCGTTATTACATTATTTCGTAATCAAATTCATCTGTTTTTGGTCGAGGATGTGCGTTTTGCGAAATTGTTTGCGCGTTGAGATTTCGACCTGATGCGGGCATGAGAGCGAAAACAAAGTGAACATACGCGGAAAAAAGAACATAAAGAGTGTGTGTTCCGCAAATACATACCTACCTAATATATATCATACAATATATAAAAGGAAAATAAACTTCCCGATGTAGATCAACATGGACTTGCGCCACTCCACTCCCATGCAAAGTTAGGGCCGCCACGCGGCGAGACATTGTGTGGCCCGCGGTGGCAATGCGACCACCCTGATCGGAAGCCGAACAAAGTTCCTGCTCCGGCACGTAGGATGGTGGAAAAAGTTTTATTTGCGAATTCGGCGTGCCCGACCCGACTATCGGCGTCGTCCCGCCGTCGAGCGTCGCACGTATAATCCCACACGAAATAATACTCGTAAATCCTCGTAAAAGTCAACCTGCAAGTTGTCCTCTGTCCTCCGCGCGCTGTTTGCGCCCCTCGGGCGTCCCACGTCGGCGAATGTCGAATGGAAGTCAAACAGTGGCTTCGCGACACAGAAAACGCTTTAATTATTGATACGACTTCTCGTACCTCTGTTTAGGCGATTAAATTTTTGCATATATTTTCGCCGCCGCGCAAGCGTCGTGTATTGTCACCAGTTCCAAATCCTGGAGGTGATTGTAAATGTTGCCGCATTATGATAATCGAGGGACGACTGGTACGATTCAACACCGCCAGTACTATCAACCTTTTACGTCGTTTGTGCGTGCTTATAACACACAACTTATGTGCGGTGCGGGACTATGACTGCACTTTAACCCCATTTCCCAATTCCGCTAGTGGTACTCACCTACTTTTTTTGTGCCAGGTTTACAATTCTTGCGTAAAGAAGTTGGTGTTTGTGTAAAGCCGTACAATTTGGAATTTCGTCGCTGCGATACGTCCCCTATACCCGAGCGCACGTGGAAGTGATGAAAAGTCTGGGTACCTACTGGAAAAACGAAATAGTATCGTTCGTTGAGTCGCTAGGTGCGCCATCAAAGCAGCAGCCAGTGCAGCACAGCGCTCGCAATAAACATCCGCCCGGGAGGACGCATTTTGTACATTCTATTCGTTTCCCCAGTTCGCCTTATTTATGCCCACCGCTTGTTGTTCATCCGTATAACCTGCGCCCGATTCCGTAGCGCAATAACTTGTGCACGGCGGCGTCGGCAGCAAGAGAGCGAATCGTTGCGCGTCGACCTTGACCTTTTTCGTTTTGCCCCGCCGTAGATTTTTGTTACTTTACTTCGTTGTGGCAACCAAACCGGCGACAATTATGATTGAGGAATCATATCGATAAGTCACACACGAGTGCCGCGCAATAAAAGCCAAGCGACAGGCACAAACAATGATTAATGTTTTCAATTTCTGGCCGGCGGATATTTATTTAAGATCGTTGTTATAAATATAATGTTGATCCAGGAATATTGTTCAGGTATTTACCTTCGTAATTCATATCAGAGCATGCATGACTATACTTGGTATTAATTTGACTTGAGTAGTCTGAATAAGATTCAGAGAATCGTAAAGTTAAATGACATTTATGATATTTTCTAGTGATGTTTCAAGTAAAGCAGGCATGAATAATGAAATTTCAAGTAATATTTATTCTTTGTTGTTGTTGTTTTTGTTGTTGTTCTTAGTTCTTGAGTTTTCTTCATGCCAATTCACTCCGCATGGCACACAATTAAATCACAAAATGTTTAAATTTTTGCATTTTCACAAAGGAAGGAAGTTAACGGAAACCATGTGACGAATCCTTACTTTTTGCGCTCCCAAA